ATCGGTCACGGCTCTCCTCTCCAAAGCGAAGGGTATCGCAGATACACTGCAGCTTGCCGGCCATCGCATATCTCCAGCGGAGTTCAATGCCATAATCTTCCGCAAGCTTGGTGCCGAATTCAATGGTATCATCGGAGCTTTGCAGCAGCGATCCAAACCCCCCCTCCTATCAAGATCTCCTTGGACAGTTAGTTTCGTATGAGGTACTTCTTCACGCCCAACAGCCGGTTCTTCAGCTAACGGCCATGCTTGTGCAGTCGCCACCTGCTCCTACGTTGCTTCAATCCTCTCGTGCCGGTCGCTCGCAATGCGGCGGCCGACGCAATCAGTTTTCTGGTTGTGGTGGTGGTCGGCGTGGGTATACCCCTCCCGCACCGGGTGAGACCTGTCAGCTTTGCGGTATCTTGAATCACACAGCTGCCACTTGCCGACGTCGCTTTGATGCTAACTTCGTTCCTTGACCCCCTGCCATTCGGTCGGCTGCTTATGTCCAGGCAGTTTCTCCTACACAGTATTCGGCTGGTTTGTTGCCTCCTCCGTCTTACCCGGAGTCGACGATGTCTCCTCAAACCCATCTGACAAAGTATGTCCCTCCTGTCACTCCCTGGCATTCGGACACTGGTGCTACCGATCATGTCACGCCAGATTTGTCCTCTCTCAATTTCTCCAATGATTATAATGGTACGGATCATATTTTAGTTGGTAATGGTGATGCTTTACCTATTCAGCATGTTGGTCAATCTGTTTTGCCATCGCTTTCTCGTCCGCTTTATTTAAATCATGTTTTGCATGCTCCTCCTCTTACTAAGCCTTTGTTATCTGTTCAAAAATTTACCCGTGATAATCACTGTTTCTTTGAATTTTATTCTGACTCTTGTTGTGTTAAGGATCTTTCAACTAAGGAATTCCTCCTCCGCGGTCGGGCTGATAATGGTCTCTATCGCCTCGATCTTCCTGCTCGTGGTTCCCTCTCTCCAGCAGCTTATCTTGCCTCTCTAGGTCAATGGCATGCTCGTTTAGGGCACCCTAATAATGTCACTCTTCGTACTTTAGTTAGGCAGTTTCAACTCCCTCATTCCTCTGTGTCCATGTCCACTGATAAATATGAGGCGTGTTGCTTAGGGAAGTTGCATAGGGTTAGTTTACCTTCTACTTTTCATCGTAGCTCTAAACCTCTTGATTTAATTCACATTGATGTTTGGGGCCCTACTCTTATTTTCTCATTCAATGGTTATCGCTACTTTGTACTTTTTATTGATGATTTCTCTTTATTCACATGGATTTATCCCATTAAGTATAAAAGTGATGTTTTCCATGTTTTCAAGCAATTCAAAGCTCTCGTAGAAAATCAATTTAGCACTACCATTAAAAGTGTTAACTCTGATTGGGGTGGTGAATTTCGTTCCCTCAATTTCTTCTTTAAGGATGTCGGTATTGTTCATCGTTTAGCATGCCCACACACTCATGAGCAGAATGGCACTGCTGAACGCAAGATTCGTCACATTGTCGACATTGGTCTTGCTCTCCTTGGTCATTCCAGTACTCCTTTTCGGTTTTGGGACTTTGCTTTTGAAACTGCTGTGTTTTTGATTAATCCCCACCCTAGTAAACCTCTTCAAGGTCACCTACCCTTCACTAAACTATATCACCAGCCACCTAATTATACCTTTCTTCGTGTTTTTGGCTGTGCTGTCTACCCTCTTCTTCGCCCTTATAATCGACATAAATTCTCTTTTCGTTCTACTCAATGTGTCTTTCTTGGGTATTCTCCATCTCATCTTGGTTATCGTTGTTTTGATGTGGTGAATAACCGTCTTTATGTTGCTCGTCATGTTGAGTTTGATGAGAAACTCTTTCCCTTTAAACGTCCTATTTCTCGTTCTCCCTCTTCGCTGCCGAAGTCTTCTGCTACCCCTTGGTTGCGCGTAACCAGTTCTCCTGGTATGCTTGCTTCGTCTTCTGCGCCCTCGTCGTCTCCTAGTACACCAGTTCTTTCGTCTCCTCCAATCCCTCCCGACTCATCATCTTTACCTAGTTCTCCTGCATCCAGCTCTTCATCACCTGAGTCCAGTTCTCCTCCCCCACTGCCTCCTCTTCCTTCCCGTTAGCATTCAATGGCACTTCGTCCACACCCCAAGCCCAAGAAAATCTTTGATCCCTCGGCTCATCTTACCTCTATTTCCCCAGTTTTGTCTACTGCTCCTACCTCATTCACCCAAACCAAATCTGTTCCTCAGTGGCAAAATGCCATGAAGGATGAAATTTCCGCCCTCCTAAAAAATAACACATGGACTTTAGTTCCCCCTCCTTCCTCCGGCAATGTTGTCGGCAATCGATGGCTCTATAAGATTAAGACCCATGCTGATGGCTCCATTGAGCGTTATAAGGCTCGGTTGGTGGCTCGAGGGTTTACTCAGTCTTTTGGGGTTGTTACACTGACACCTTTAGTCCGGTTGTTAAGCCGGTCACTATTCACTCGGTTTTGACAGTTGCCTTCGCTCGTGGATGGTCGATTTCTCAACTTGATGTCAGTAATGCCTTTCTTAATGGTGTTCTGAGTGAGACTGTGTATATGGTTCAGCCACAGGATTTTGTTGATCCGGTACGCCCTCATTATGTGTGTAAATTGTATAAGTCCTTATATGGTCTTAAGCAAGCTCCTCGGGCCTGGTATTCTCGGCTGGCTGCATTTCTGATCACCTTGGGTTTTGTGGAGTCTCGTTGTGATCCTTCTCGCTTTGTCTATCCCCGTGGGTCTCAGTTGTGTTTTTTGCTGGTCTATGTGGATGACATTATTCTTACAGGCAGCACTTCGGGTTTGGTCCAGCACTTCATCTCTTGTCTTGCTAAGGAGTTTTCTCTTCGGGATTTAGGTCCGCTGAGTTACTTTCTTGGGCTCAAGGTTCGTCGTACTTCCAAGGGTTTGCTTCTGTCTCAGCGTAAGTATGTCACTGATATGCTACGCCTTGCGAATATGCATACTTACAAGCTTATCTCCACTCCTTTGTAGGCTAATGTTGTGTTGTCCCGTTTGGATGGTACTCTGTTGTCTTCTGATGATGCGACAACTTATCGTCGGCTGTGTGGCAGTTTGCAGTATACCACTCTTACTCGTCCAGATATCTCCTTTGCGGTTAATAAGCTTTGTCAGTTCATGCATCAGCCTCGCACTTCTCATTTTCAGGTTCTCAAACGGGTTCCTCGCTATCTTCGTGGTACCATTGATTTCTGTTTAGTTCTGCATCCTACAGATTTGGGCACTCTTATTGCTTTTAGTGATGCTGACTGGGCTGGTTGTCCGGATGATCGTCGTTCTACTACTGGTTTTCTCATTTATTTGGGACCTAATCTCATTGCCTGGGTATCTCGGAAGCAGCCCACTGTGGCTCGCTCGTCTACTGAGGCTGAGTTTCGTGCGGTTGCTAATGTCTGTGTTAAACTGCATTGGGTATGTAACCTGTTGTCCGAGTTAGGCATTTCTTTACATCGCCCTCCCTCTATTTGGTGTGACAACAGTAGTGCAGTTTTCCTTGCTGCTAATCCTGTGTTTCATGCTCGAACCCGACATGTTGAGGTTGATTTTCACTTTGTTCGAGATCATGTTCGGCGAAAGTTTGTTTCGGTCAACTCTATCTCTGCTGCTGATCAGCTTGCTAATATTCTGACTAAACCCTTGTCCAAGGAGTTATTCTTTCGCTTCCGGGACAAACTTCGGCTTCTCTCTTCTCCGCCGTCAGTTTGCGGGGGCGTATTGTGATATTTAATATATTTCCTATAATGTCCTTGTTTAGGGTTTGTCATTGTCTATATATAGTCTATATATTGTACATAATAATACAATGAATGAAATACAATTTCCCTATTCTAACTGTAACAATTACTAGTTTCATTGTCTACTTGGACCTATATATATTGAGGACACATTCGTACGCTTTCCAATTGAATTAGTACTTTTTTCGCGGGGTTTCATTCTTAAAACGGGGGAAACACCCCAAAGAACGATCCAAAACCGTGAATTACTAAATCTCTCTTTGTACTTTAGCACTAATTCGCACTGCAACATAAATGAGCAATTGAGACATTTTTTCGTGTCTAAATAAGTGGTATAGTAAGACACATGTGACTCAAATTGTGTGGGACATCACTAAACAGTGTCTACTATAATCGAGTCACAATAAGTCATAAGACATGAAAATGTATTATTATATTGTTATTTAATAAGACATTTTAAAGTGACACATTAAGTAATGTAATAGTTCACAAACAACTCAAATAATACACTTATGTATTCGTGCGTCGAATCAACGGTGTTTAGGAGGATTGCATTTCCGGGTATTCGCAGAATCAACGGATCTACGACGGTTACCAGTATTACTTTTAGGGTTCGAATACAGTGGCTTCCGCTTGCTACATCAGTTGGTATCAGAGCCGACGTTCCTCCTGGAAGGTAGAGCTTTAGAGCTTTGTGATCATCAACAGTGAGACGGATCTGTGTCCTCGGTAAAATTTCTTTTGCGACTGATTTGGGTTTTCATTGGTTTGGTTTAGTTTTGTTTGGATCCAATTGATCTATTGTAAGATATTAAGGCTCTGCATTTGTGGTCGTATTGTTGGGATTAATTTTATGAATTTTTGTCGTGGTTCAGCCGGTAGAGTAATCAAGTTCATTTAATTACTTTTATTTGGGGATTCCTTATTTTGTTCGGCCGGTTGAATAAACGGCTGGTGGGATTATTTTTATTGCTGTTATTAGCAAGTGGAAAGGGTATAAATTGATAAGTATAATATTCGGTTGATTAGGGTTTAGGTTTAGTTAGGTGTGTGATTTGGATGGCCATCATGTCTCCTCCAACTTGGATAAATGAACCCGGTTATCATGAAAATGATGAAGTTGTTGCTGAATTTTTTTCCTGAGAGTAGGATCATGATCCGTGGGAAATACTCACATCGACTGGACGAAGCCACCAAAATTTGATATTTATCCGGATGATGATTTGAAGGGGAGTAGACTTGCCATTGTTGAGCTTTGTCAGCAAACAGATGAAGAACGTATGGATGATGCTAAAGATTGGAGTAGTGCACTGTTTGATATTTTCCGTGACGATGGTGAGTACAACAAGGTCGGAGAATCTTCAGCACGTCATAGTGATCCACATCATCTTAACCAATTGGCGAAAAATATTTGTCTTGAGGTCTGGTGCACACTTGAAGAAAGTGGAGTTGTACTGGAGGGACTAATGGCACTGCAAGAGCAAGTTCTTGGTGCTTACATTTGCTTTGTGGTTGATGCAAGGTTGGTGAACCAGCAACAAGTTGTGGATTTTAAATCTGCATTTCCAAAGTTTTCCCCATTATGGACAAAGGACACTACACCTTCGCATGGAATTTGGGCGTCAGATTTCCATTTGACCGTGCCAAAGAAGCTCCTCAACGCGAGAATTGGAAGGGTTTGGTTACATTTCCTTTTGATCGTGGCAAACTTACATTTAAATTCGAGGACGAATTTTCTTCAACCCTGGGGAAATGATGGCGGCTAGAATAATACATTTAAGGTCTAGGGTTTTTTAAGTTTATTAGGGTTTTACTTTTTGTGTTTCTTCCTATATAAATGGACTTAGCCACTCATGTACGAGAGTTGTTGATTTGATAAAAGTTGAGAATTCATCTTTTTTGCCAATTATCCTGGTTCATGTGTTGGTGAGATTTTTGATACCTTAAACAACGGGTATTCGTGCATCGAATCAACGGTGTTTAGGAGGATTGTATTTTCAGGTATTCACAGAATCAACGGATCTACGACGATTACCAATGTTACTTTTAGGGTTCGAATATAGTGGCTTCTGCTTGCTACATCAATGTGTTTCATAACATGAACACACTTTCTCATTTTTCAATAATATATTTTTTTTTAGCAAATGTCTTAATACACGTATAATGAGATATATTTTCGAAAACATGTCCTACCATAAAGGTATTAATAGCCCTTATTTTTTGTAGTGACCTGGAGATCGAAAACATGTTTTTGGCATACAACAAGTACAAAGACTAATGATTTATTTCAACAATAATAATTTTCCCCTCACCGGTGTGATGTTTTTGTCGAAGAAATAATTCACAGTATAAAACAATACTATTTACAAATTACAATATGCACTGGTGTTTTTGTTGGACGGATTGAATATTTGATATGCCGATCATCATAATAGCAAGTCGTAACAAAAGTATTCAACCACGGGCCTGTCATTTCCATTCCAGCCCAAACAAAATGTAATCTTACAATCAATAAAGTTTTACTTACTAATGTTTCGGATCTTTTTCTTACCAATAAAAATACCAAATTAAGAAAACAAAAAGGGCTTAGCAAAAAATATTCAAAGAAAGTGGTTAAAAGAAATCTTGAAATCCTACTATCTATTTGTAATATTGATGATATTCCAAATGATATTGTGATAATGATGTTTCTTGCGTGAACTTGAATGATACCGTTGTGATAGTTAATAGTGGTGGTAAAATTGACGAATTTGCTTAGATATGGCAGTGATCAAAAGGTTTTAGACAAGAATTCAAATGTCATTCCAGTGGCTGGTGAAGTGAAATGAAGACATTTCTCAATTTTTTGTGAATGAAATGGGAATCAACCCTTTAAATGTATCGTAGAGATTATCAGCTTGAAACTTCATTCCGTAATTCATTCCATTCGTTCCATTCCCTTCTAGGAATATGTTTAAACCTTCAAATGTCTATCAGGTGAACCCTTAATTTTTCTAAAGTCCATTCATTCTCTTCGTCGACGATAAAGTTATCTTAGAAGTTTTTTAAAGTTCTTTTACGTCTTATTAACTATATTTATGTTTCAATTGCAATTTTGTCCTACATTTATATTGTAATTTAGGTTATAACGACTATCTTTGTTTTCAGAAAACGCAATATACTTACAATAATGGTAAAAAAAAAATTACCAGGTTACAACAGAGACATTAATGTGTGAACGATGCAATTAAGTTTAATAACATGAAAGCGCACATTTTTGTGAGATCATATGGGCGTATGTTTTCTTGTGGTTGTAGGAAAACTGTCCGAAGAAGTTCCACAAACAAGCTGTTCGATCGTGTAAGAAGAATAGATGAAAGCCATATAAATCTTATCCAATATCAAAATGGCGAAAATTATAATACTTCATTTGTTTCGAAATAATTCTTTAATTTTACTTTTTATTTTTCTTATAAATTTTACAAATAATAAATTTTTTTTCAATCACTTTGGGTTAGAGAGTATTTGTTTGAGCCTTCTTTCTAAAGTGCCTTCTCAGTCCACTGTTGACTGTACGCGTTTGCATTCATTGTTACTCAGCTGTCTGTACGTGTCTTTTGTAAGGATTTTATTTGTTTATTGTTGACAATTCCACCACGTTATTAATAAAATTTTTTTCCCCTTTTTGTCCTGCATATTAATTTCGTAGTACCATTGTTTTTGTTTTTTTTTTGTTGTTTTTTGTGGTGCATGGATATTTGTACAAGTCAAGTTATGAAATTCAATTTGGAGATCGACCATTAATTAATAAAACTGCACATATAATTATGATATCAGTATCAATAGTAGTTTTATTTATTTATTTTTGTTTCGTAAAAGAAGAAAATTTTTAGATAAGTAATTAATTATAATTCGATAAGAAATAACAACCGTATCTTAGATTAAATACAACTTCAAATGCTGGCGGTGATTCTTTTAACAAGTGCAAGCCCACACAACCAACAAAAAAAAACACTACTTCAATTTTATTTTACTTTTTTCATAGCAAGAAGTCCATCATCGATTATAGTAAGTAGTGACTAATCCCCATGGTAGACATATTATGGGTGAGAGATCTGGCCAAAATATTTAAAATTACTATAACTATCAATTATTGCAATAAAAGAGAATTATAAAATTTAATTTTTTTATTTTAAATGTATTAAATAACTAAATATTATTTATTTAGTAATAATTACATCATCTTAATCTACCTTCCAAGTTCAATTTTATCCAATAAAATATTAATTTGACTTTCATAAATGATAAATATATATTTATTATTTATTATTTATTACGTCATTACGACATCGTTTGAGTCAACCCCGATTCGCCCCGAGTCGACCCCCGAGTCGCTCTATCCTTCACCATGCCGAGTCGAGCTCCGGTCCGAGCTTGATAACACTGCAGAAAGGGACTTCTTCTGTTTACACTCGTTGCCGAACATTGGTCTAATGAGGGCAATTAGAATTTTTGCACAAGCGATCGAATGTCGTTCGCCTAGGAGGTTTTATTCTAATTCCCTTTTCGATGTAATTTCTCTCTCGATCACTAATGAAAAAGCTTTCAAAAACTGTTAAAGGTGACAAGGAATATACAGTATGTAGTTATGGTGTTTTATTGCACATGTATTATTCATTATCTTACTGTTACTTTTTTTTTCTCTATCCATCCCAAAAACAAAAAGGAAAAAAACATCTATAAGAATTAGATATATATTTCCAACAAGATTGGAACCAAAATTGTGCTTACGCTTCCCAGATAGGCATAACGCATTGGTTGATCCAATGCGACTGGATCTTTCAATTTTGTTGGCATGTCAGAATGTAAGAATTAATTGTCTATATTTATGGATGTGCTCTGTAATTCTCAGCTTAGCCAGTTTGTTAGTTACAGTGTTGACTTCTCTGCCGATGGTGCGGAAAGGTGTTCTTTTCTCTAATTTTGCCATCTAAACTAGACTAATGAGCGTTACTACAAAAATTGTTTCTGGATCTCTCCTACTGTTCTAGTTTTTCACTAAAACTACATTATTGGAACTCTATTTTAGAAACTTCGCTAGTTATTTCCAGTCCAAAATGGGAATGGAGTTTATTCTCTCTGTTATGAGAAAATAGTCTACATCATTATTTTTTTTTTCACTAAAATGAACTTCTTTCTGCGATGGTGCGATTACTTTTCACAAAAATGTAGGTACGTAGTAGGAAATTTGCCACACAGGACGTGATTAAGTCAATGATTGCCGAACATGACCACAAATTAATTTCTTTTCCAAGTGTTTTTGCGTTCTGACTTCTGACTAAACCTCTCTTTGTGGCCTGCATCGGGAAGCAAGAGTATAAAGTATAAACAGTATAAAAATGATTGATTTAACGTTCATTAATTGAAAATATTGAGCCTTATATAGTCATTGATATATACGACTTTGAAAGTGTATGATACCGCTATGATATGGAGACTTTTTACTCATATTAATTATGTATATGTGACGTGTCTAGTTTTACAGATTTATATGTGCAATAAGAAAATATTTTTTCGAATTTCAGTGATAAAATCACCTTTATTCTCGAAAGAAATTCATGAGTTCAATGCTACACTCTAACAAGAGTAAGAAAATAGCTCAACTCTTACTCATTTGCACTTCTAAAGGACTTATTAAGGCAAACTCACACATGAATTCCCGATTTTATACCAAACTTATCACTCAAAATTTGTCACCTAGAACTTGTTTACATTGGTTTATCTTCCAGTATAGTTTAGACACTATTACAGTGGGCATGAATTTACCTATACATCTCTGGTGGGGGTTGTGGGCATTATCAACAAATAAGAATATATTTTTATGGTACCATTTTATGCATATTAGTTTTCCAATAAAAAAGATTAGAGAGAAAAGAAAAACACAAAACAAAACAAAACGAATCACCTAGAGTTTGGAAATACTACATTTTTTCCATTATTTTTGGTATGGACTATTTTAATATGGTATCAACACGAAAAACAGCCAAAAGGAAAAAAAAAATAAAAACTTATTAGAATGATTCTCTAGCTAATGATCAATAAGTGTTTGTAGAGAAAAGAAAATGTTGCTACAGTGAACTATTTTTTGTGTTCATGCCTGTAGTTGTGAATGAAAAACTATTGGAAAAAATTATCGAGAATTAAATTGGATATGCTTAATTATTTAGATTAATATCATGATTATGCTCATCTTTTTATTAAGTCAATAAACAAATAATTGGTTCAAGAAAGGTAATTGAAGAATATCAATTTTTGTCTCCTTGACTAGCTACTAGTAATATACTTCAATACATCTCCCTGCCGATCAACAATAGTTCTGTTAGAAGTTTTCATATTGTTATTTTTGTCTTGTTTGTCTCCAAAACCGTCTTCCTTTCTACCTTTAGCAATAGGTCAATTTATTTTTTTCACGTTAATTTTATTAATAAGGCTATACAGTATTTAGTTTTCCAGAAGTAATATTTATTTTTAAATTTATAAATTTAGAAAATATTATAAAATGCTTGATATATTCAATTGAGTAGTGAGCTAAAAACTACAAAGAAAAGTTACGAGAATCCTCATTAAGAAACAGAGAAAGGATCTTTACTTTGGGAAAAAAAAATCGGTGATAATGGTGATTTCCACATAAAATCGGGAAAAAAACTACATACTTTTGGATCGACGATCATTTTCACATAAAGAGTTCTACATATAGAACTAGAATAGGTCTAGAAACGTCATGAGTTTTTCTTTAAAAATAAAATTAAAAAAAATCATCTAGAAGACTAGATGGTTAAGATCAAAGCTGTAATGAGATTTTATTAAAAAAAATTTATAAAACGATTAAATATCGCCCTGAATTCTCTTTAAAAAAGAAAGAAAGAAAAAAAAAAGAAAGCTAGAACTACCAATAATACATATTATAACACGAATTGACCTGAACTTAAACATTAGTCAAATGGTAGTGTGGTGATTACAAATACGATAATGACACTTTGGGACTTAAGAAACGACTTATTAGTTCGTAGAATTTTACTATTGGGTTGTGAATATTACTCTTTAAGTAGAAAACTAAACATGTACTATACGCAGAAAAAATTAAACTAGACCCAAATGAGGAATTCCTGCTGGCTCTTGGCATCATCCAAATATATATTGTACTTTTTTGTCTTAAAATAAGTGTCTATATAGATATATATATATATATATATATATATATATATATTACAATTGATGATTGTTTTCAAACCAAAGAAACATGTAAATATTGTTCATGGATTACGTGCGCGACTCGTTGTTCACGAACAAAGCAACGCGCTTTAAGCCATTGCATAATTCCGAAAGAGCTGGAGAACAGTCCATTTTTAGATCTCGATTACTCCTAATTACATACAGCTGCGAAGCAACTACAATGGATGAAAAATATTATTCTCTTAAAATAGTTGCTCAGTATGAAATTTTATTTAATCCAAATTATATTAAACGTAAAAATTCAAATTAGATAATCATTTAATTTGGACAGTGGGAGTGTTGTTTTGTTCGCACTATACCGTACAATGATTTTGAATAGAATGAAATGTAATTTGTTATATCCAACAAGAATATAATAAGGCAAAAGATTTTCTATGACATTTTTGTGTTACGTTTCATGTGACAATAATTAAAATCTTAATACTTAATTAATCACTATCCAAAAAGAGTTCACTAACCATTTGATTATGATATTAGTAATTGACTACTTAAGTATGTATCGATTATTAACCAATGTTACAGTGAGCGTGATACAAAATCTCACAAAAGGATCTATCTAATGAGATTTCATGAAATAATTCAACTAGCATAATAATGTTTTATCAAATAATCGAATTAAAGACTATAAATTAAATTAGTGATTCCTCATTCTTACGCGAACTTTGATTAACAATTCTCGTTTTGCATTGCGTTAGGAAATCCCAGTAATAGTGTTTCAAACAATTTTTTAGAATTTAATGTGGACTATTTTTCAGAATGATTACAATTTTCTTCACTTTTGCGAGGCCGAACATGGTAAGAAAATCAGATCTCATGAGCTAACAATGAGAATGAAAAATTATTCCGTTGCGTTATTACAATTATTGTGGCTTCGTGGATCCTTCAGATGGAATTCAAACCAGTCAATTCATGGATAAAGAAAATAATAATAAAATGAACTAATCCCTCTGACTAAACAGCCTGTGCATTTTTGCGTTGTTATATCAAACTCAAGAAAGTTAGGTAAGCTCCACGAACAAGTTGATTGGCATTATACTGACCTTGAGAAAAGAAACAAGTTGGTCGACATAATCCAACTCAAAATGAATCAAATACCTTGAAGTCTTGAAACTACTTACTGGTTTCACAATCTAAGTTGGACCTATATATTTTGGACAAGGTTCTTTTTGCATTTCAATTTCAAATGTTCGCAAAAAAAAAAAAAAAATCATATTTTTTGTACTTTTATATTATTTTTAATTTTTTTTGGTATAAATGTTGTTTTTTTTTGCAGACGGATGAGTTAATTCGTTAATCTCCAAACCCTCGAGGTTACGTTACATTCTTTCTTCATAGGGCATGTTTTTTCTTGTCCCCAAGACGTAAAAGATATGCTACAAATGTTCATATTTTATCAAATTCCATATCTCAAAGGATATAGTTTTGTGTATTTGACAATAAATAGAATTGAACAAATGTTCTCATTTGGATAATCTATATTGTTCCAAAGTTTTTGACTGTTCATAAAGCAAATTATAGCACCATAATTGAAAAAAGAAATGGAAGATATGTCGCCCAGTGATGAGAGCCACTGGTCCTCTAGCCAAACTAACCTTTTTCAAAACTTTTTGCGTTCACACGATATTTCAAATTTTCACAACTCCGCGAGAACTTTTGCAAAAATGATCAAGCATACATTATTGCTGACCCAAAAAATAGTCAAAATTGAGGGTATGTTTGTTTCGTTTTTTTAGTGTGTATGTTTAAGTATTTTTTGTATTGAGAATGTAAAAAAGTGTATTAAAAATGTAAAAAAATATAATGGGATTGTGCATTTATTATTTTAATATTATAAAAAAACCATCCAAAAAACAAAACAAACAAAGCCTGATTTTGAGATTTGTACTAGTTTTAGTACAAATCTCAAAAAACTCAATTTTAACTATTTTTTTCGACAAAACTAGTATTATAATTATTTTACTGTACACGGACATAAAGACAGAATCAGTAGTACGTTGTAGGACTAGGTGACATATTAAAATATCATAAAATAATTACAACATCTTCGCAATCTCAATAGTCAAAATTATCATACTACGGTAGGAGACAACTCAGAATTGGAACAACATCCAACACACTACTCCTTCTGTAAAAAAAAAATATTCATATTGAGTTTTTAAATTTATATAAAAATATGTATAAATTTTAAAACTCAATATGAATTTTATTTTCCGGACAAAATCGAAATTGTAAATGTCCAAATGATTGAACCGACTTTACCATGCAATCTTTCATGGTTATAAAAAAGTAAAAAACTAAACACAATTTGCGGCTATAAAAGGAAGGCTAGAGGGCAGCACAAGAAGCATAACTGCATAAGCATAAAACTAAGTTTTGTAGTAAAGATGGGGAGCCAATACACTCCACTGTTTACCACCTTCCTAGTGGTGTTTCTTGCTCTATGCTCCCCTTTAGAAACCTCAGCTGATTATTACAAGTATTCATCTCCTCCACCTCCAAAGTACAACTCCCCACCCCCGCCGGTTTACACTTCACCACCACCTCCAAAATACAAGTCGCCACCTCCTCCGGTTTACAAGTCTCCACCTCCTCCGGTTTACAAGTCTCCACCTCCTCCGGTCTACAAGTCGCCACCCCCTCCGGTTTACAAGTCTCCACCTCCTCCCGTCTACACGTCTCCTCCCCCACCGGTTTACAAGTCTCCACCTCCTCCGGTCTACAAGTCTCCACCACCACCTCCTCCTGTCTACAAGTCTCCTCCCCCACCGGTTTACAAGTCTCCACCTCCTCCGGTCTACAATTCTCCTCCACCGCCAGTTTACAAGTCTCCACCACCACCTCCTCCCGTATACAAGTCTCCTCCCCCACCGGTTTACAAGTCACCACCACCTCCTCCGAAGTATGAGTCACCTCCACCACCGGTTTACAAGTCTCCCCACCACCCCCGCCAGTTTACAAATCCCCACCACCCCCGCCCCCAGTGTACAAATCTCCGCCACCACCACCCCCGGTCTACAAGTCTCCTCCACCACCCCCACCAGTATACAAGTCACCACCGCCTCCTCCGAAGTACAAGTCGCCACCCCCACCTTACTCTTACTACTCGCCTCCTCCTCCTTACCACTACTAAGCAATTCCGCTCAGCTTTGAAGGTAATAGTTAATTTTGAAAAATCCACGTGCATGAGAACTACAAAATGAGTAGTCATGCGTAACTAATCAATGAGATAGTAAAGCTTAAATTATGCAAGCTTACATTTGTTGATTTTGTTATCATGGTTGCAGGACCAAGGGATGCGAATGATGAGAAGTTTTTAAGAAGCTTAATGATCAAGATGTTAGTGAAACAAGAATAAAGATGAAACCCCATGCATCAATCTCAATGTGTTTTTTTTCGCGAGTTTTCTTCCTATTGAGTTCCCTTTTCTAGGGTTCATTACGTTTGTCTTCAGTTTCATACGCAGCAATTCGAAAACTGTATGTCATTTGTAAGGATTTGATTTGTCTTCGTTGACCAATGTCCACACGTTAATGAATATATATTCGTTTTTGTCTCCCTACGTTTGGCATCCTGTTTTCCTTAATATTATCTAGTTTCGTAGTCAACATTCAACAAAGATCGATAAATAATCTGATCTCATTATTTTCTAACAGTCAACGGCATATATAAATATACTATATGGGATGGAATAATTTATTTGGCAAAATACAGTTTACGTAACCTCCTGTTGTTCTATATATTTGATTGAATAATACTCTCTCTTGTTCAAATTATAAGATTTTACAAATTTGAATTAATTTGTATAACTCGTAATTAGTACCGGTGGAAGTATATGTAAAAGTGAGAGCGACAATAGTCAAGTAAATGATCAAACAATTTACTCCAACAATTTTAATCATAGGATTTTAACAAATCACCCTAACCATAGGATAAATATGTTGTAGCGTGAAGGAAAGGGTATCATCACACTATATAATTCAGTTGCAATAAATCAAAGGCTGGTGATATTGTCAGAGCATATATTAGCTTCCAGATCAAATTCTCACCTTATTGTCCAAATACCCTCTCCTTGGTCAAGCCTTTCATATCTCTCTTTCCTCGTTCAATCTCTTTGTCAGGCCACTTCTCTTTTCTTTTCTTTTTTTTTTTTTCAGTGTTTGTTTGTTCTTTATTGTTCGCATCAATCTCCTAAAATAATCTAATATCCATGTATTCATCTTCTTGCAGAAGTTTTACACATTCATTACAATCTTGTTAAGGAGGGGAAAAAGCCTTCATGAAACTTCAAGTTTCCTTTTTGGAAAAAGATGAAACTTAAAGTTGAATCTCTAATGGTTGCATTCAAAAATTTTTTTATTATATATCAAAAGTAGACTTGTAGTATATTAGGAATGAATCCATTGAGAATTTTTGAAACCAATTATTCGAAGACAAGAATGGCAAAGAGAATTCAAATTTAAGTACTCAGCTCCTCAACTGAATAATATGAATGATTTGGGCAGCTACTCAAATACACGATTCTACAAAAAAAAAAATAAATGCAATTATGCTACACTATCGATCTCACTGAACTTCGGTGTTGCAACTGGCTTTACACAATAATGATTTGAAGATAATGGAGGCGAAATCAATCGACTAAGGACATATTTAGAAATTTATGGCCGATACAAGCAAATCAAAACCTTAAAAGTGCCAGAATACTCTATGATTTGTGCGGAAAGATCATTCGGATGCCTTCAAATCCAATTTACAAATGATCCACATGTTAAGTTTTTTTTTTTTAATTAAGAAACTGTCAATAAAATTCTTAAGAGAGCGCAAACCGATACAAGAGGGGTAGAGAGGGATGGTTTGCGGAAGTGAGATTTTCATAAGCTCACAAAGATTATTAAACATAAAACAAGGGAGGAAGGAGAAAAGGGTGCCGGGGGAGAGAGAATCGGATGGGAGAAGAGGAGAAGGGTTTGACCACAAGGAGGGTATTTTGGAGAGTAAGGTGAGAATTTGCTCTGGAAGCTAATATTTGTGCTGGCAACATAGCCAAAATGAAAATTATAGCGTCAGTTTCCTCCTATTTGGCTTAGAAAAGTACTCGAACGGTTTCATTTTGAATGAAGAGGCTCTGCATTTTTTTTCCTTCAAGAACTAAACCACAATTTTTCATTAAATCCCATTTTTCACCTCTAATGATCATTTGTAAATTCCAGCAAAACCCAAGAAGGGGTGATGTTTTTAGACAATCAGAGATATTCCAGGGAGTGATTATCCTGTACGCCCATTCATCCGCGAATTGAAGCTGAAAAATCAACGTCTATTTCTCCATCCAAAAAACATCACCTACTTTGTTGAATTAAAATAGGAAAAGTTTATGGTGGATTTGGAACCAAAAGTACGTTAGTGAATCCCACTTTAGCACGTGATAAGTTTCAAAAGTTCAATTTGATTTTTTTGTAATTTTGGTAAACTATAGAGGTTGTTTTAGTTTTTTTTTTTCTAAAAACTAAATTTGAAAAAACAAACGTAAATATTAAAATAATTTATCTTCTAATATAATAAATGTGTTAGATAAAAAATATATAATACTCGACGATATCAAATCCAAAATGATTCCTCATGCATATGTTTTTTGGACTTACATGACTTGCTTTACTTACACAATTATGCTCGAATACTGCTGCCAAAAATAGGTCTGGCAAAAAAATGAGTCGTGTTGTGTGGCGACCGAATGTGTGAGCTGAAATTGAGAACACGGAGCCGAAAGGAATGGAAACGCTGCCCGCACTACAACAAACTCTCCTCATATGTGTGACATTCAAATATCATAGTCACAATCTATCTATAATCAATGTTTGTACGATCGTGATCCTACACAGGATCGAAATGCCATCACAGGATCGGATCGTACGTAGGATCGGTAGGATCGAAATAGTAGGATCGTAAATTTTTTTAAAATCAAATATTTTTATTATACAGAGCTGTAGATAATAAATATTTATCAAAAAGTGTTTGAAACAAAATACATAGTGTCATAATTGCTTATACTTTAAATCATAGTGTGCAACCGTTGACAATGTCGCCTATCAAACAACTCAAGATCAATATATTTTTACAAACACAATAGCTAAAATCACATTTTAAACCATGAAATATCATAAATACGACAACATATCACGGGCACAATTCACCTTTTAATCTATCATCGCATCAAGTCACAAAAGATGAAACTAGTAAAGTACCAAGTATCAACCTCCTATACACTACATACCTTACAACAAAATACAATTTAGTATTTCACAGGAAAACATTCCCATCAAAAGATTAATCCAATACCATGAAATATCATCATCATCTTGAGTTTGTCCACGAACTACCAACCAAGTACCCAATAATTACATACCGTATAACAAAAATATAATAATATTTACAGAACCATTTCACAGCAAAGTCTTCCCATCAAAAGGTAAATTCCATGGCATGATCTAATCATCATCATCAGAATCAACATCATGAGTTTGTCCGCTTGGAATATTTCCCCCAAGATCATCTTGAGTCTCACCAATCCTCATCCTTTTCACTTGAACATCAACCAAATCTGAATCATCAATGTCTCCAGCGACCTCAATCGGATCTTTCCATCAAAGACTTGAATTCTCTTTCTCTTTCTACGAAATCTACTTTGTTCTTCATTATCTATTTTAAACACAAGAAGTACCATGTAAATCACAACATTAAGAAACAAATGGACTAGTTTGCATAAGAAATTTTATTTTGGTTTATAATTTGAAATTTTACCAATTGTCAGTTGTTCAACATCAACCACATGTCTCTTTTCTGAATCTCCCACCTCATCTTCATCTTCATCATCATCTTCATCAATCAACCGGAAACGTTTCTCAAAGATTTACTCTTTCTTTCTCTTTCTTTGAAAGCCACTGGATCCTTCACCATCTATATTGAACAAAAATATTCCAATAAAATATTTTGAATCAAATAAAAATTCTCATAACAATTAAATGAAAAGAACTTACAATTTCTCACTATATGCGATATTGTGACCTCAATCTCGTCTTCTTCATCCACCTCAATCTCATTTTCTTCATCCACTTCTTCATCTGAAGTATCATGATTTGGATTCTCATCTAAATTCCTTAACAAATTATTGGTGGTACTTGGTAATACGTGATCTTCCTTCTCCGTAATCCGTTCATCATCAGATGGTAGATCCTCCAAATCTCTTGCATTTTCCTTTTCAAGTTCTCTCGCATCTCTTTCCTTTTGTCTCTCTTGTAACCTCAAGTTGTACATCACGAATACTAAATTGTCAAGTCTTTTGTGAGCCAATCGATTCCTCTTCTTTGAATGCACCTATTTTGCAATCAAAATTGTAAAACCATTAGTCAAGCATGTTTACATTTAGAAAAAACAGCTGATGAAACTAAAAAGAAAAGTATAAACATCACCATATCAAATGCGCTCCAATTACGTTCACAGCCCGAAGAACTACATATCAAGCTTAGAACTCTAATGGCAAATTTCTGCAATTCTGGACATGGATCCCCATAAATTTTCCACCACTCAGCTGCAATCCAAGGGGAAAAATTAAATAATGAAATAGAAAACATATCAAATATTTGACATTCATATTATGGGAAAAAAACAAAGAACCTGGTTCCAATTTGTTTATAGATTTAATGGCATTGACATCCCCAAATAGTCCTTTGCCACGGCTGAATCTGATAAGTTGCATATCCATTTTATCCCTCTCATTACAATCAGGAACCGACTTCCTCATGCATTCAAGAAGTGCCAACTTGATGTCTGAATTATTTTGAAACTCATTGTACTGGTATTTCAGATTCAAATAATATCCAGCTAAGCGCAAAAGTTGATTGAGCATTCCTTCCCATCTTGCATCAATAATTTGAAAAATGTGATCATATCTACAAATTTGAGGAAATAGAGAAATCAGAAATGAGAAGATAAGATTTTACTACGGAAATGCAAAAAGATGTGCAAACTGAATTCAATTATATTTACCTCTTTTTCGAGTTTCTCAAACTTGTTTGGATTTCTTTTTTTGCTTTTCAATTGCTTTGTACAAGTATCCCATGGCTGGCTTATCATCAGAATCAACCATCCTCAAAACTTTTATGATTGGTGATGAAATCTTCAAGCACAAATCAACATTTGGCCAAAAGTTTTGAGCATCAAAAACAATATCATAAACTTTTCTTCTTTTTTTTTTTTTTCTTAGCATATACACTTTCTGCCCATTTTTCAGAAGCAAATAAACAAATCAGCTCGCTTCGCAACTCAT